GACCCCACTTGTGGGATTATACTGGGTTGTTGTAGTGAATGGTTTGGAATCCACGTGTTTATTATTCTTCGAAAAAGTCAAAATTCACCTTTTAATTTTTTTTTGTAATTTAAAATTACCTTGAAATTAAGTTTAGTTACCTGTCAATGGTAAAAATATTTTTTTCCCCTAACAATAGGTTAATATTAAATCAAACATCTAACAAAGAGTAAAATTTCTCAATTTCCAATAGTATTTGGGCAAATTTGATCATTTTCCCAAAAACTAAAATAGATGAACCGTAAGCCCTAAACTATTAATAAACCCCTTCTCCAAGATTCCATTAAACCCCATTTCAGTTCCTTCTCGTCAAAAAAATACTTTCTAGAACTTTCCTTCCCTGCATTCTGCTCAGGTAAAACTCTTCCGTTGTAAGTTCCATTTTCTTAATCTACACATTCTTTTATGTATTTTATCTAGGCTTTTTTTCTATGAAAACCAATTGTGACGAACTGTAAAGTTACAGGAGTTTGGTGTGTTCTTAGTTCTTATTTCGATTTTCCAGTGAGTAAATTTACGAAAAAATAACTTAATAAGTTTATATTCTTTTTCGTATGATTCTCGGTTTTAAATAAGTTTATGTTCTTTTTTTTTTTTTAAATTTAAGTTGCTATAATAACTGAGCATTTGTGTTAAGTCCTATTATGTGAATATAATGATCTGTATCCATTATGCTATATTCAGACCCATTTTAATTTTATGTCTTAAATGGTAATTCGGCTCCAATCCTCTGTGTGTTAAAAAAGTTCATAATATGATTTCTGCTATCTGTTTGCTTTTTTTCTTTGACACTGTTATATATATTCTCTAGACAATTCAGTACATTTATATATGAATAATCTCTCTGGATTTTGCTTAAATTTAGTGTAAAATGTGATTTGTTAATTGGATGATCATGTATTGTGGTATTGTTGCTTTTGGGTAGGTAATGTACCCTCAGAGATTTCCTTGAACTAAGGCTTCAGATATAAAAGTATCAATTCGTTATACTTTTTATTAAGATAAATGTATGAATTATTTCCATTAACCCATTTAGAATCTTAGTGTGCATGATAAGTATTTGAGTGTTTCATATAAGTTTCAACAAAATAGTAAAAACAAACAATTGAATGTGAAAAATGAGATTAAGCCATCCACACATTTTCTCAATCCAATTGTTAAAAAAGTAGTCATTGACTCATTGCTACAATTTACTGTTGTAATGGTCTTGCTTTTTATTTGAATCAATTGGATTTGTTGATAAGCTTAAGCGTATTCTGTCAGAAGGTAGACAGATTAAGTGGCATACAAGTTGTTCTTATGGCCATATAATGAAACTAAAATTGTATCCTTGCAAATTTAGATTTTCTGTACACCTTTGGAGTAAAGATCTTAAAGATAATTTACTGAATGGAAACTGTAAATTTTGTCAAGTCCTTTGCATTGGAGCTTTCTGTGACGAAATTGCCTGCTGACTAATCAAAAGAGATGTATGCTTACTTGCATATGTTCTTCGGATGCTCATGGATCACTCCTTTTCCCTATTAGCAGGCTTTTATTAAATGATTATAATGATGACTATTATTGGCTTTACTTTCAGGGATTAGCAAGATGGATCTCAAGAATGTTAAGGTTCCTAAGATGCCTGGTGGTGGTGCTGCTTCTGTTTTGATCAAGTTGGGAGTTGTTGCTGGTCTTGGTGTGTATGGAGTTGCTAACAGTCTCTACAATGTTGACGGCGGGAATCGTGCTATTGTTTTCAACCGTATTCTTGGTGTTAAAGATAAGGTATGTCTTGTCCTTTCCCTAATGGACTAAGATAATTTTTGGACCCTTTTTTGGGTACATATATTAGATTGACTTGATGGTTAGCATACACGGACAGTCATCTCTGAAACTCTATCTATGTTTAAGAAATGTAGTTAGATCAGAGCTGGATTTACTGTCTTCTACAATTAAGGAAGTTCTTCTAGTATAGCTTTGCTTTTTTAATATGTCCTTTTGGATATGCTTGATGGATTCTTTTGTTGACGTAGTTTAGCGGGCACGATGTACATACTTTTATCATTTTTTCAAGATAGAGATCAATATGTGTTGTTCATATGTCTTCGATAATGTGATGTCCAAGCACATTCAAGTAGTCAATCAATCAACCAACTATACCTCAATCTCAGACTAGTTGGGTCGACTATATGTATCTTGTATATATTTTTTTCTCTATTCGGATGCATTCATCCCAATATCTAAAAATTTGTCTTTCAAGACGACATTAATTCTTAGGACTAGATGTTTTCTAAATCTCATGCTTATGCATGATGCCTGTATAAATATGTAAACCTCTAACCATGTGTGCTCGCATAGTGTAACTGTCCCGAGACTGGATAAAAGGAGGTTGAAGTAGATTGAAGTGTAAAAGTGATCAAATTATGTTAAATCCTCAAACACATTCAAGTAATATATTTTGAGGTTAATGTCAACTCTTTATTAATTTTTATCTTCAATATGGTTCTTTGATGGTGTACAGCCTAGTTTATGACCTTTAGACCTGATTTTCATCTACTTTCGACGTGCCTTATGCATTTTTTTATACGTGTGCTGAATATTTTATTTAATAGGTTTATCCAGAGGGGACACACTTCATGATTCCCTTGGTTGAAAGGCCTGTCATATATGACGTTCGTGCACGTCCACATCTAGTTGAAAGCACTTCAGGCAGTCGCGACCTTCAGATGGTAAATTCTTCTTTCAATACTTGCATTGCTCCCTACTACAAAATATTAAAAGGAAAGAGAAACCAAAAGATTTGGGATTGACAGGAGAAAAGTATAAGATGTGGTAAAGAATGTACAAACTTATGAAGGATTTTTTCTTCTCTCAACTCCTATTCTCAGATAGAACAAGGATAATAGAACCAAAAGATTTGGGATTGGGAGGAACAGTATAACATGTCCTAAAAAATGTACAAACTTATTAAGATGTTTATCTGATGTTTTCCTTAAATCCTTGGAGCAGAACGTTTAGGTGCTATAAGAATGACAGGTGTAAAAATTGACCTTGTTCCTCAACTATTTTCAGGTTAAAATTGGACTTCGGGTTCTCACACGTCCTGTACCAGACAAGTGCCCACTATTTACCGAACTCTTGGTGAAAACTATAATGAGCGGGTCCTGCCTTCAATTATTCATGAAACTTTGAAAGCTGTGGTTGCACAGTACAATGCCAGCCAGCTCATCACCCAGAGAGAGGTACGTGGGAGAGGAAATATACCTACTTCGTGTGTTGATGTTGCTATTGGTAGAAGTAATTATTGCGCTAAAGGTGGTAACTGGTAATATTGCATCTGTACTGTATGGTGTGTCGACACCTATTGTGAGTAATGTTCTGATATTGGATTTATGCTCCACTTCCCTCTCTGAAGTAGGGGACATTGATATCGGATAGCTGCAAATTTTCTATTTGGCTGCCGTAGAAACTCATTGAAATTTTAAATGTTCTTCACCATCTTTGCTTAAACTTGTGTACATGTGCAGAATGTTAGTAGAGAAATACGGAAGATCTTAACTGAAAGAGCAGCCAACTTCAACATTGCTCTAGATGATGTGTCCATAACTAGCTTGACTTTTGGAAAGGAGTTTACAGCTGCAATTGAAGCAAAGCAAGTGGCTGCTCAAGAAGCTGAGAGAGCAAAGTATATTGTGGAAAAAGCTGAGCAGGATAAACGAAGCGCTATTATTAGAGCTCAGGTCATAATACTTCCCAATCTTATCCTTCTCTCTTTCTAATCTTCAGTTGCTTCTTCAGCTTTTCATTTTATATGGAATACTATGATTAATGGTGCTTGAATTCCTTCCTGCAGGGTGAGGCTAAGAGCGCGCAGCTGATCGGTCAAGCTATTGCCAACAATCCAGCGTTTATCACGCTCAGGAAAATTGAAGCAGCAAGAGATATTGCACAGACCATTTCAAATGCAGCAAACAAAGTGTACTTGAGTTCTGATGATTTGTTGCTCAACCTTCAGGGCTTGAACATGGAGACAACCGGAAGAAAGTAACCAGGAAGCGACCATGGCAAAACGGTTTGCTATTTCACCATTGCATTTTCTTCCTCAGCTTGTTAATAGTTGGGACCATTCTTGGATAGGGAATTGGAGATAGCCTCTTGGTTAACTTGGCGACGGAGATAGCAATTTGGTCTCGTAGTCTATTTTTACTTTTCAACTTCGAATTTTCCTTTTCAGGTCATACACTTCTTTTAAATGTCGCTCCTTGGAGAATAAATATGAAAATTGAAGGTATAAAGAGAAATCCTGCTTTCCATCTCATCCTTTATCAGCTGTTTTTATTTCCTAAAGCCTTATCTTTCATATCTCCAGTTCTAAATGTGTTTAGTCTGACTTTTCGATTATATGTTTCTTCCTCCCTAATTATTGTCTCAACTCTCAAGTAGAGCCTGTTGGCAACTCAAACCATGCTTTTTTCGGTAAATTCTCAATATTTTTATTTATTCGGGACGTTCAAAAGAAAAAGAAGGGATTTTTTACATTGTATAGCCGTCCACCTGAAAGAAATTATTGGCGTTATTCGGGATGTTAAAAAGAAAAAGGGATTTTTTACACTGTAGTTGTCAACCTGAAAAGAATATCGGCAGATATATAATTTATGTAGAATTAGTGTATATTTTATGTATATTAGTTAGTGAATATAAATATTTTGCGGTTAAATGTGTGATGAAAGAAACAAGTTGGCCAACTCTTGTATTCTGTATCATCAAGGTAAGTTTGACTCAATTAAAACAACAAGATTACGTTATATCAGCCATTACTTGCTCTAATTTAATAGACTCCTTATTTAAACCTTTGTGAGCCAAGTCGTTAACATTCTAAATGATGGAAGTGAACTTTTACGTCAAATGAAGGCGTGAATTAATTCTGGCCTTTAAACCTTTTACTAAAAACCCATATCCTTCAAATAACGAATGAACCAGAACCCTATATCATAAATCTTTGTCTTAGAGAGTTTTTAGCATATTAAATTTCCCTTTTTCCTTCGACATTCCGTTATATATACTTACAAATTAATCCCCCAAAGTGATCTTCATACATTGAACCAAAATCTTAAAAATAAAATTTACAAGATTCAACACACATATAGATGGAGGCCACAAACAAATTAGGAACAGAAAATGTTGTAGCATCTGAAAACCAATTGGAAATACCCTTATTAGAAGATGAACTAATTGTTGAAAAACCAAAGAAAACACCAGCACAAAAGGTCATTAGAAAAACATTCAAGAAAACAGCCATTTTAGCCAATCTTTTACCCTCAGGTTCTGTTCTTGCATTCCAAATTTTATCACCAGTTATAACACATGAAGGCCAATGTCATTCCTCAATTAGCCATTCTATGACATTAGGCCTTTTAGCCTTTTGTGCAATCTCTTGTTTTTTCCTTAATTTTACGGACAGTTTTCGCGACGAAAGGGGAAAGGTTCGTTATGGATTGGCCACATTCAGAGGTTTATGGATTATTGATGGATCAAATATTATCATTCCTCCTGAGGAAGCAACAAAATATAAGTTGAGATTTTTGGATGTGTTTCATGCCTTGTTATCTATACTTGTTTTTGGTGCTGTCGCGGCGTTTGATCAAAATGTGATCAAATGTTTGTATCCTTCTCCATCACCAGAAACTCAAGAGGTTCTTGCAATTCTGCCTATGGCTGTTGGCGTAATTTGCACATTGCTGTTTGTTGCATTCCCTACAACTCGCCATGGAATTGGCTTTCCTCTTTCACGTCGTTAGGGATATACTCATTTCTTTTGTCTTATTCAATTTGGTTCTTCTTAACTATTGATGTACATGGGCCTAATCAGTGGCGGAATCACATTGGCCCGGGGATGGTCATATTGAATCCTCTTTGCCAAAAAATTAATCTTCCTCTTTATGTATGAAATTACAGATATATAGTGAATGTACGAGCTCTTTTAACTTTGAAACAACTCCCTTTGTACTTTCCTTCATGGGGGAGATAGAGAATTTTTTTTATAGATAATTGCTGATACAGGCCGACCGAGATCCCAACAATCAAATTACTGTGTTCGTTCCTCACCTCCTTCGGATCAAATATATTCTACGATGTGTAGAGGCGGGAGAAAGAAAGGAGGAATTGATCGACCAACTTTATATAGGTGAATTGTTTTTAATGTGTATGTATCAATTGTTGAATCCTATAAGCACAAGGAACGTTACCATAGAAAACGGGATTCAAGATATGTTTTAGGTCATGAATTTGATTCTCAGTTGACATTTTAGTTGGCTTTGAATCTGGTCTTTGATCTTGCCTCCGACACCATCTAAAATCCTCTCAATTTGTAGAAATTCTAATACTACTATTTACGCTGTGCTTTGTCGAAAAGTTTCATAAAATTCCATTTTGTCTCACCAAAATGCCTCATTTCATGTTCGTGTAACAAAACAGTAGTTAGCCTATTTGAGGTGATAATGGTGACAACAGAATTAATTTCATCTTTAATTTGATAGAAGGTTTGAATTGGACCAACTAATGTCATTTAAATATACTAGTAAACACCTCTCTTCTTTATGAGAGATACTAATAGTCAATTTATAAACGAATAGGAACATGACAGTAGAAGAGTTTAAAATACGGCTTTCTTACAAAAACGCGTGGCCGTGTCTGATGAAGATAGTGGACTTGACCGGTAAGCTATTGCTATCAGAGCCGAAAGTCATTGCAGCCTAAGACGGCTAATTGAATTAATGCCCTACTTGTTTGAGTGTAAAATAGGTGTACTACAGTACTAGTAGCACCCAAGTGAAGTTTCTTTTTATTTATTTAAAATTTAATAAATAAAGTTATTCTATATCTATAATAATGAGAGTTAGCAAGTACAGATGAAAGATAATATAAATACCCAATAAACTTGGTCAAAATGTGTGCTAGTCGAACACTTATGCAATGATAGGTTAAACCTAATTAATAATAATATTCCTAAGCATAGATCTTGAAAATACGAATAATATAGGGTTGATCCAGTGGGGAATTAATGATATTGTGCATTAAATATTCCAAAAGCATGAGTAATAACGAAGGAATAACTAGCAATAAATAACAATAAATAATATTTATGTAAATAGAAAGAATGATTCACCCAATAATGAATGAGATGATTGTTCCTCTTGACAATAATGCGTGGCAGACAAATCCTAGAATATTCAAAATATTCTTGGATCTGATGGAAAAGTGTGGAATAATATAAGCAAGAATGTTGATGAAAAGGCAATATTCGTATCTTTGCTAGCGAGAGAGGGGGAGAGAGAAAATATCTTCTTCTAAAAAGTGTTTTTATCAAATGAAAATTACATGCCCCCCTTCATTGACCTTTTATTTTTATTTATATGGTGCATACCCCCAATAAAACCTAATAATACATAGCACAGAATATCTAATGGAACATTCTCTTCAATATCTTATTCTAATAAACTAGTTGTTACGACTATTTTGCAGTGCTCGATCTCGACAATCGTTCGCACCTCGACCACGAGCCTTGCTATCTCATGATCCACCTCAGCTGGCCTTTTCCGTGACATTACTTTGCATCAAGTACCGAGACAGATTTCGACCTATACAGTTAGTCCCCCCGCTTATTAAGGCCGACCTCAGACGACCTTGATGAGCGGACTCTATTTATCGTGGTTGGAAAAACTGGGCGAGCAAGTCAAGTAGTGGCATTTCAGACAAGGTGACAACATGACCTTTCGTGAGCCACAACTTTTGGGGTCGTATCACTTCAGAATGACGTCATGACATCATGCATCATTATGGTGCGTTTTCCCGATGCTTGCGTCATTTCCCGTGGTTCTGCCGTTTCAATACCTGCGCGGGGTAATGATGGTCTGATTTCTTGATTCTAATGCTTGAACTCTTATATATAGGGATATGAGACCATTCATTTGTGTTTTGCATATTCTCAATATAAAATCCCCGTGTCTTCTTCTATATTCTTCATATCGAATCCTTGTCTTCTCTTTACTTCATTATTGTGTATCTACTTTCCTGTTTCTGGTGATTCCAGTTGCTTCCAACCCTTCTGTACTTAAAATATCCTCTCTAAAAAATATGGTTAACATACCCTCTGGTTCTGGCATGACAGTTGACCTATCCTTTTGGCATGCCCTCTCATGCTGATAGTGTCTCTGTCACCATTGAAGATGAGAATTTTCCTGCGGTAAAGGAAATAATCCCTCGTAGCGAAAAAGTTAGGTCCGACTTTTCGAAGGTACCTGAAGGCGAGCCTGAGGTCTCAGAGTCAGCGATGAAAGAGGTCGATCTCATTAAACTTAGAGCAAAGTTCAAAATTCCTGCCCACGTCGATTTGGTCTCAGCAGAGCGCGATGTGGTACAAATACGCCGCCCTGGGTATTGCACGTTGTATGCATATCCTTTCTACATCGGATATACCTTTCCTCTTCTCCCATTGGCGGAGGAATTTTACAGCTATTACGGCGTTTGCTCGGCCCAACTCTCTCCATACACCTACAAGCTTATTAGGATGTTTGTGAAATATGTGGAGTTGGTCAGGGTCGGGGTCACACTCCGCCACCTGATGCATCTCTTTGCCCCTAGTTTCTATAGGGGGACGATGTTGCACCTTCGCCACCGAGAAAGTAAATGCCTGGTGGTGAAGATGGACGACAAGGCAAATCGTCAGTTCCAGCTCAACTACTTTTTCGTCAAAACTGAGGATGTGGTGGCCATTGCGAGCGGATTCCCTGAGACTTGGAATTACGCCCGTAAGTATCTTTTTTTTTATCAAGAGTTTAATTTGCCTGTTTTAGTCATAGTTTGACATTCTGTCCCTTCTTCGTGCATCCAAGACTATGCCCCCTCCTTCGGTTGGGGATATTCATGACTGGGTTAGCCAGGTTCTGCCTCACACAGTGGGGATTCGCGAGTGGTCGGCCTTTCTTAAGAAGTTCGAGCATGCGTCTTCCTTGGCCGGTGAGTTCATCTATTTTTTACCTATACTGTTTTGACCTCATGGCTGCTTTGAATCTTTCTTTTTCATCTTGAGGATCTTTGAGGAGACCGAGGGATCCTCCTCATGCATTTCGTAAGAGGAAGGCTGCTTCTTCTTCGGAGTTTGTTCTCGTTGTGATCGCGACTAGGCCTGCTAGGTCGTCTGCTTCTATTCCTCCTTCCGTTGCAGCTAGGTCTACTCGGTCATCGACTACATCTGCAGTAGAGCTCTTGGCTTCCCCTTTGCATCATCTAGTAGATGAAGAAGAGGAGTCGTCGCCGAGCGACGGGGATTTGGTTTCCCTTAAGAGGAGATCGGTGGACGTCGGTGATGGAGTCGTCCGGGCCGTGGATTCAGTAAGGGGCGCTTGTGAAATGATGACCGTAGTTCTTCAAGATGACGTCGAGTTGCCATTTGAGATCCCACAATCGACTGAGGCTGCAGATGGTGTATCCATTCCCGATCCCAAGACTGAAGCTAGAAGGCCATCTGTGGGAGTTTCTGATCCTTTACGGCGAGTTGAGCCATCATCCTTGCTACCGGGTGATATTCCTTCTTCGTTAGCTGATGGGAAAGGTAAGGTCATCACCGAGGATGGTTATGAGATGGGCTCCGATCTTGATGCCGAAGAGGTGAGGATGATGGGGAAAAGTTTATCTGGCTCGAAGTGAGACTGGATAGGTCCACGCGGACCATTGCAATCCTCAAGGATCAAGATTTACTGGTAAAAACGGAGAATGTGGTTCCTTCCCTAGGTCCCTCTATTCCGACGTGGAGGGTAAAACCCTTGAAAATTGGATGATGCTACCCTATCAAGGAGCATAGTCAACCTCGCTCTTAGGGTAAGCTCTTTGACTTTTATTTCTCAAGTTCAACGCTTTGTGCTTCGTTCCTACTTTCTGTTCTCTTTTTTTTTCTTTTTTTAGAAAGCGGTTTTGGAAATTGAGAGCGCCCAAAGAGAGGAGAGGCATAAGGCTATTTTTCTTAAGATGGAGCAAAAATATCGCAAGTATCGTGGTAAGCACCTTGAGATTTGAAGGCGGTTTGGTGAGAGAGGCAATTTCCAGGCTCTCCGAGATGAACTGAAGGAGAAAGATGGCAATCTGATTAGGGTTATCAAAAAATGCAGTGTCCTCGAGAGGGCGCTAAAAGATAAAGAAGAGGAGCTTGAGGTTAGTAAGGGGGTTGAGGCCCAGTGTGGCGATCTTCAGGCCCAAGTGGTCTCTTTGCGCGCCGAGCTCGAGGAGTGTCAGTTCAAAGCGGATACTTTGAGTGGCGAGGTCACCGAGAAGGCAGCGGATCTCTAGAAGGCGAAGTCAGCTCAGTCGGAGTCTATGAGGAAGGCGGAGGCTTTGGAGATCGTGATCCGCATTCTTCATTCTGAGCGGGAGAGTGCCTTGGAGACGGCTTGACTTAGAGAGGAACGACTTGATTAACGGATAGGGGAGCTGGAGAAAAAGCCTTTAGGCCTTTGTGATCGAGTTGATGCTCTCGAGGCCGAGAAGGCACAATTATTAGCTCAACCGCCTTCTTCTTGCACTTCTTTTTTTCCTAATATTCCGTGGGATTTGTAAAAATTATTCTATGTATGAAATACTAGTTCAATTACTCGTACCTGATTTTTTTTCTTCTGTTTGAGTTTGTATGCCTTTCAATTTCGTTGTTTGGTTGCCTTAGTCGTAGTAACTTAGCTCAAGTAGGTTGAATGAGGTCGAAACAAAGCCTAGGTTTGATCATGTCCAAGGACCAGTAGGTGTCAGTTCGAACGAGGTCGAACATATCGCATGTTTATTTATGGCCGAGGGCCGATTAGATGTTGATTCAAATGAGGTTGAATACAACCTATACTTGATTATTGGCCGAGGGATGGTTAGGTGTTGATTCAAATGAGGTCGAATATAACCTATACTTGATTTTGGCCGAAACTATTTAGGATTGATTCGAAAGAGGTTGAATATAACCTATACTTAGTTATGGCCGAAGGCCGATTAGGTGTTAATTCGAACGAGGTTGAATTTATTTATGGTTGAAGGCCGATTAGGTGTTAATTCGGATAATGTCGAATTTAGTTATGGCCAAAGGCCAATTAGGTGTTGATTCGAACGAGATCAAATGTAACATATACTTGATTATGGTTGAAGGATGATTAGGTATTGATTCAAACGAGGTCGAATATAACCTATACTTAGTTATGGCCGAAGAGCGATTAGGTATTGATTCGAACGAGGTCGAATATAACCTATACTTAGTTATGGCTGATAGCCGATTAGGTGTTGAGG